ATATCTAATATATTATAATATATAATTACTTAATTACTTATAATATATAATGTACTTAATAAATTATAATATATTATAATAATATTATTATATGTATATATATCTGTATTAATATTAATAGGATTATTAATAATTGGTGTATTAATATTACCTTTTCTCATCTTTTCCTACGTTTGTCTCCTTATTTTTTGCAGGCCCTTTTCGTTGGCCACCCCGACAAGCACCCGATAGTCATACTGAAAGATGTCCCCTACGTGGACATGCGAAGCCTTTTGGATTTCATGTATCGCGGGGAGGTGAGCGTCGACCAGGACAGGCTGACCGCCTTCTTGAGAGTAGCGGAATCTCTCAGGATAAAGGGCCTGACCGAGGTAAACGAGGACAAGTGTGACTTGCCCAGTATTACCTCCTCGTTGCTTGGCAATCAAAACACAGTACCTCCACCACCACCGAATCTACATAGAATAAACCAAATCGGGCCTCACCACCACGTGTCCCAGAAGAGGATGCACCACATGTCGAGCCATCCCCTGTTGGGCTCGGCCTTGTCCGCGCCAAAGAGGAAACGGGGAAGGCCGAGGAAGCTGAGCGGCTCGTCCGACACACCGATCAGCGAGCTCTCCGCCCAGGAGCTGCAGTCATGCTCGGGGGCCGACCTCGTCCAGGGCTCGCCCGAGATGATGGAAATGAAGATGAGTATCGACTTTCAGAGCGAGGGCGCCGGGAACACCGGCAGGAATTCCGGGAACGCGAGCAACAGCAGCAACAACGTGGGCAGCAATAACGTCGGGGGCAACTCTGGATCCGGGACGGGCACCGCCAACCTCCCCGCCTCCTCCTTGTCGTCCGCGAGGAAGGACGAGCCAACGGAAAATGGTACTGACACGCCTGAGTCGCTGACACCCCGCGTGAAACGGGAACCCGAACCGACGCCTAGCACCTCTGCCCAAGGTAAAAATTCACTCTTTCACCCTTCCTTCCTTCCTTCCTATCTTTCTTGCTTTCTTTCTTTCTTTCTTTCTTCCTTCCTTCCTTCCTATCTTGCTTGCTTTCTTTCTTTCTT